GACGCTTTACTTTTCAAATAAAAAGCTGCTTCGCGCTACGCGCTACAAACTTGTTAATTTTTGTAATTTTTGTAGTAGAAATAAATTTCTCTAAAAGACATTGGAAACATTATTTTTAATTTTGCTTTATACAATTCGAACAAACACATTTGTAGACTTTAGTAGACTGTAATCTAAGTGTAATAAAAAGTCTTAATAAATTATTAAAAAAGCGACGTTGAAAACTATTTCACACCAATTGCAATTGTCTAAATAGTAATTAAAGACATGCTAATTCTGAGGACAGACGGTCGGTTAAAAAATCGCAGTTTGGTTTGGTTGTTACTCAGAAAAATTATATTTCTGTTAACCCTTATAACCGCCCGCACAAAGTTAATATTAAGCGGTGCTCTAACAGAAAATTCAAATTGTCTGCTAGGCGTTATCTCTCCAACTATGGATTTTATTGAATTTATGGTACTTATTTATAAGCGTTTGTTATTTTGTTTACTTTCAAAAATGCACACTATATTTATATCTGGTCAATAAACGATATATATTCATTATCTTTATCTAATTCATCTCTGCAGCTACAAATATTTTTTATCCAAATATCAAAATTACTTCAAATTGTATTTAGAAAAAATAAAATTTTAATAACTTGTATAGTTAATAGCTGAAACGAAGGTCTGGTGTTCCACCTCTGCAAGAACTTTTTGCTTTAAAATTAATAATGGAGTCATTGCTTCCAGTTATAGTCCAATAATACTTAATTATCAAGCTGCATAGTATTTTTTTTTTAGTTAATAACAAATTAATAGGATCGTATGTAGTGAATATTTGATTTTAGATAGTGATTGGAAATATTAAAAAATGATACGATGATTCACAAAGAAAAAATAAAGATCAAATAAAACCCTCATAAGCTGCAAAATTTAAAGTAAGCCAAACAAACCAATGCTACTTTAGACTAAATCTACTGGGAGAAAAAAACTTTCCACTTCTTAATCAAAATATATGTAAGAATAGATGAAAGAATAACCACAGAAATGTATATACAAGGATACTTCAAATTGTAATTCCGATCCAACCGTCTATCACAATGACGCAAATTAAAAGCATAACGGGTTTAAAGAATCCCACATTTTTTTAACAAGAGAAATTAGTAATTAAAATTTAAGGGAAAAAAATTAAAAAATTGCCAAAAATGTTTTTCTCAAAATCGATTCAAATATGAACAAAGATAATACATTGACTATACATGAAAATCCTTTAAGACATTTATCCATTTTTAATAATAACAACATTTCGAATTTTAAAAATAGCAGGGCAATTCGAGAAAGGTAGTAAATGGAAAATTTTAAACCAAACCAAACCAGATTTTTATGATTTAATTATTCAGAACTGGTATCTGCAAAACTTAATCATAGGGTTCAATAACTTTACATTATAAAACTAGAAAAGATAAACGCATTTTCAAAAACGTTGTACCTCTAAAACGAGGTGGGCTATTACGCTTCTCCTGTTCTTCATTTCACCAAAGTGATATACTCCGCAAGAGGGGAGAAGGGGCACCCTTTACATAGATAAAAGTAGACACTCTGTATTTCCCTAACAAACCAAAACAGTACTGACAGAGATTTTATTATTGTATGCATCTTATCTCTCATTCGTTTACTTGGAGTAGTAGATAATACAAATAATACTGATAATAGACAATTATTTATAATTAGAAAATTAATAAAATTTATGTACATATAAGAAAAATTCTATATTTGTATATATAGGTATCAATCATTACATACTACAACACTAATTAGAAATTAAATAAAAAGTACTTACTAAATCAACAATAAAAGAAATTTTGTACACTCATAGAAGGTGAAAGTATTCACCGTTCAAGTACGATTCGGTTAAGTGTACCTACATATCGGTGTAAAAAAAAACGGCATTGTGGTATTTAACCACAAATTTATTATCAAGGTTTTAATTGAATTTACTGTAAAACATCTCCAGTAGAAGCAGCTTTCACGAAGTGAATATTTTATTTGAATTTATTTCGAGTCGCTATATAAAAAGCATGTTTGTTTATTTATGATGACGCGGCGCCTCACTTTCATTCGGAAAAATCTTATAACATCAACGTGAGAATTAGTTAATTTATATAAGCGAGGAATTTCTTAACAGTTTTTTTTTTATTTATTATATACGCCCTGTATCGTTTCCGTCGATCAGCTTTCTTTCTTCTCGTTGTTATTTGGTCCATATGAACTGGGAATAGGGACTGATGTAAATAATGGGTGTGGCGAAAAAACTATAATCTGACGAAATTTCAGGTGAAAGTCTGAGTCAAATAAAATAAACTTTATTCTCCTATATTTGGAAACCTATACCTATGTGAACCCCCAGAAGTAATCAAATTATTTATGTTTATAAATAAATGAACAATTAAGTGGCAAATATATGCATTTGGTTAAAGTTGACAATCGTTTTTTGTCAATAAAAACGTAGTGTTTACATTGTTGAATTCGTAATGTGAAGTACGGGATATACTCCTTCTGTATCCCATAAGAAAATATAACTTGGTACTAAGAAACTAAGGCAATAAATCTCATAATTTTTTTTTCATAACTTAGAATTATGTTGCCATGATTTTATTAATTCGATCTTCCTCCAAAATAGCTGCTGCTTTTTCGTAAGTATCTCCAGATAGTGTTCAGGTGTTTCCAAATTCTTGAATCAAAAATCAGCACAAGTGGATGGACATACTTACAATTCACAACTTTGTATAACTATACCACAACACCAAAACTAACCCTTTCAAGTTAAATAATAAAAGAATAATTAAGTAAACTTGTATAAATATAGGTTCCTTGTAAAAGGAAATCGTCTTACTATTAATTGTTTTGAAGATATGTGGTTACTGAGGAATTGGAACGTTTTGAGATACAGTTTTGTTAAGCCAAAGTTTCTCTATAACATCAAAACAATAAACCCTGTATATTTATCCGTATATATCCGAATAAAAAAAAATGAAGGTCGCAGAGCTTCCACATTTTGTTTTTTAAATATGAAACGTAAAGCATATAGTACACAGTCTACTTCTGATTATTGGAAATTAAACGTTGTAAACATAGAGTATTTCGGAAATAAGTTTTTTTAAACAATTTTAAAGTTCAATAAAAAAATTACAATTACATTACAAGGCTAGAATAAATGACAACAAAAACATAAAAAATGTTACAAAATCGTTAATTAATATGGGAGTGCCCAGGAATAAATAATTAATTAATTCTTTTTTAAAGTTAATTAATTTATTTTATTTATGGTAAATAATATTAATTCCAATTAGGCGACCTAACCCTCCGATTATAGTAACAATTTTACATAACGCGCAGTTACCTAAGATTTTTCAAATTTGTCAGATTTTGTGACGTTATCTAATAAACACTTCAAAGCGAAGTAATTTGTTTATTTTATTGGTTAGTTGACTGGCATCCGTCTTCAAATTTATTTCGCATATGATTCGAAACATCGTAACCACAAAATTGTTCTAATATAAGTCGTGGCCGGTCGTCGTCGCAGCGCGAGTGAAGAAATAACAAATTACCTCCGAACAATCGCGCATATATTGCAAAATTTCACGGATTCGAAATTTTCGATGCTTTTAAATGTAATTTAATAATTAGCGTCAATAAATAGTAGGCGTTGGGCAATGGCTGGACGCTTGAGCAATAGCGTTTTGTCTATTTGTAATGCGAGTTTCATTTTTTTGTAAAAAAAAACGACGACTATAACAATTTCTAAAAAAACGAATTTACCAATGCCAAATCCTCAGGGACGTCTGCAAAGTCCCATAACCACACACAGTGGATTGATTGGTTGGTCAGTTTACCTGCGAACAAAATAAACTGGTTAAAGCAAAGATAGAGGTGGCGAAATATCAAAAAAATGTTTTAATAAATGGGCACAAGGAATAAAATAAAATTTTTCTAAAGTAAACATTTTCTGGATCAATAAATGACAATAGAACAATCACCGTATAGATTATGAGTTTATTACTCTACACCCTAAACTAAAAAATCAAAAAATAGAATTTTAATTGTATAAATTTTTATAAATTTAATTAATAATTTTAACTCAAATTAGACCAAAATTTAAAAAAAAATAATCCTGCATTTGACCAGCTAATTAAATTTAATTTAACTTTTAATTAAATAATTAAAATTTAATTAAAAGGAAGTTTTATACACAATTATAAAAAAAATAAATAAAAATAGCCTTAAAAACAGCCTGAAAATTGAAAAAGGTCTGAATGTGAAAGATTGAAGAAGATATGGATGATATGAAGACAAAAAATTGATGGTAACAAGTACGATAGTCACATATTAAAAAATACCGTGTGACACAATAAGGGCAACGAGATACGCTATTAGCATAATTTTACGCCATGGAATATATTATAAAAAGAGTCTATATTTTATATATAAATTGAAAATGCCTCAAAAAAATTCACTTTTTTTTGAGTTAGAAAATCTTTTATTCACATTTAATGTTAGGATAAACATATTGAGTGGTTTGACGTTTGAGTTGGTATTGACATAATAAAAGTAATAAGTATCGTTCATTAATTTTTTTCCAAAATTTTTTTTTTTTGCCATTATGTCGGAAAGAGGCATCTGGTGGCAACATTGCCGCGCTCCTAGCACGAGCACGAAAAGCAAAATAAGGCCCTTTTAACGGCTCGAAGAGTATTAAACCCCTTTTGCAGTTATTGACATTTATTTCACTAACAATGGTTAATATAATAAAATATTGTAGAAACCAGGTCTACAAAGTTTAAAAATAGGTAATTTTCTTTTTTTTCCTCTATTTTCTAAAATACTTGGAATTTTCCAGTTTTAAAACAACTTCGGACTAGGCACTATTACAGTAACTCAGATCTCGATATATCTGACGCCTCAAAAAATTTCTTACAGAGTATTATGGATGCTTTTTAATTTCATGCATTATCGTCGCAGATAATGAAACTATCTGATTGACTACGTGAGATGGGCAGATCCGACCCTGGACCGCACAAGTACAAAGAGTGCAGCAAGTTGGAAAACAAGAACCGTCACAAAATCCCCCAAGACCAATATTGGACCGAGCTGGTAATCAGGGCCAAAACAAATGAGATCGTAGCCAAGTATCACACCACTCCATGCGACCGGTACGTCTGCACGAAATACCAAACGAAAAAAACCGACCGTAGTCCGAGCGGTCAGTACGAGTACCTCCAGAAGAACCTCTATATCAAGTCGGCAGTGGAAACCAAAAGTAATGTAAGTTGAGTTAAAATAACATTAACCTAAAATGTTATTCTTTTCAGAATCGCTCCATTTAACCTATTTTGTGTCCGTTTCTCTAACTTTGTTTCTTGTTGACATACTACATTTATTTTATATTATATATTTTATTTATATTATTTTATATTATATTCTTTTTCGACGTCGCCCCAAACTAACATTTTTTCTGTTTATTGTTTATTATGAATAAAAGTAGTTTATTATTGAAATTATTAATCTTATAATTATAACAAGTTTTTAATTTTTTTTGGTTATATATACAACTCAATTTTTAATAACCCTTGAAAAGAGCAATTTTATTGATATTTGTATTTAAATTTTGGATGAGAACTTTTCATTAAAACATTAAAAGTGATTTCTTTTGAACCTGAAGGTCCAGTAAGCGTAAGGTAAAAAGTGACGCAAATTTTACAGTAGAAAAAGACGGCTAGTAATGGGGAGTCTTGTCTTTGTCTTGCTCATCTACATAAATCGCGAAAAATATTTATTATTATTATTGTTATTATTATTAATATTATTACTGAATGTTTATTTTAACAAACAAAAAGAATAGGACAATAGGCCAAGTATCACCCAAAGGGAGCTTTTAAAGATAACTTTTTTTATACAAAAAAAAAACATTTCCATGTATATTTTAAGCAAATAACCCATTAAAAACGACCAACCAAAAAACATAAAAAATAGTTTACCAAAAAACACCCAAGGATATCAATCTAAGCAATCAAGAAAAACTAATATAACTCTGCATAAAATTTATAAAATATGATTAGGGGAGGATGGGGAGAGGCGGCCCACTTAATCTTTTTATTATTTTTTGTGGCTTTTAACCATCAAGTCGATTTATTTTTGACTAAATTTTGGCGAAGCTTCTGGCCGACGTGCCCCACTCTCCCCTATTTATAATGTTATGTATAATAATCATAATTATTTATTAAAAAGCATTTAATAAAAAAAAACCGTTACTAATTAGTAACTATTTTTCTATCGATATCGATAATAAGATTTCCGAAAGCTCTGGCTTTAGGCTAAATCCATAGAATTACGCAAAAAAATAACACTTTCAATAAATTAATTATGATTCAGATATAATAATATGGAATAACTTTTTTTTTAATTAAAAAGAAATTTTGGTTGATTTTTGAGGTCGGCCTTCTTGCTCCAGGGCGGTCGCCTTGCCCCACCCTCCGTTATATAAAAGATCGTTATTTAAAAAAAAATTAGTGTATTTTAAGTTTTTTTTTAAATAATACTTCTGTAAAAATGAATGCGACTGTTTTTCGATCAGCAAGTACATTTGTTGCAAATATAGAAAGAAAATATTGTTTAATACAAATAATAATAATATGAAAATGATGTTATAATATGTAAATGATGAAACCAAGAATTATGACTGTGTGCTATCATAAATTGTCTCATTCCATTCGTATATTAATGTGTATGACGAAGAAAACAACCTCCATCACAAGCCACCTTCTATTAACTGAAAATGGTCTCATAAAATCGATATTGGCTATACGATTACCAGAACCGTTCGAGTATAGAGATCGAGTTCACTGAATAAAATAGTACAAATGTATAGCCTGTTTTGCATGTCGACTTTATTCCGTGAATTTTAACATAGTAGGTACTTTCAAATTGCAGATAGTAAACTTGCAGCCCAAGAAAATTTCAATAAGGAACTACACTCCGAGAATTCTGTCGCGGGAGGTGAATATGGGCATGTGGATATAAAGCTCAAGCGCGACCTATAATCAAACGTCAAAGATGATTGAAACCATTTTTATATAAAGAGGCGATATCATTAAACTAATTCTCAACTAGTCATGTCTCTCTTGATGGCCGCCGGATCGGTGGCCAACTTTGCAGCAGGACTTTCTGCGAACCCATTCACCATCTTGGGGCTGGTACCGGTATTCGCCATTGGTCTCCTCTACATGAACTACGTTTCCGTTGATCCCGAAGCCCATCCTATCAACGTAATGAAAGTAAACCGGGTAAATGTTATAAATTATAGCCATTTAAAAGTTGTGTTTTCAAGATTCAACCGGCATACGACTTCGTAGTAGTTGGTGGAGGATCTGCTGGTGCGGTGGTGGCCTCAAGACTCTCGGAGGTTTCTAATTGGACAGTTCTGCTGCTAGAAGCCGGAGGGGATGAGAATGAGATTTCTGATATACCTTCGCTCAGCGGGTAGGAGCTACGCGATACGTTTAAAGTACTAAATGAAGGTGTTGTTAATTTAGCACACAACGTAGAGCATTAAATTTCTAATCAACAAATAACCCGGCAACTTTAAATTTCTACTTTCATTTTACTGTGCTCTGCAAAAATAAAAATTTCTAACTCTGTCTCAAAGGATGCCATCAATATTTATATCATAATAGTGTTGTATACAATAAATTAAAAATTTAAACCAAAACAATCAACACTGCGACCACAACTTCTTATGATCACAACCAAAATTAAATAATCCCATAACCCTCAGTATTTAGATTCGGCCAGTCAAGTTAATCCCTTGAACCACTTTACTCAAGGAATACGCCTTAATACTTTGATTCTTAATCTGTCCTTCAATCAGGATGCCTTGAGAAACTGTTAAGGAAAAATTAGGTTATGTTTGCACCACAAATGTCACCTAAATATGGGCAAAAATAACCTAATAATGGGCAAAAATAATTATCTGTAGTAGTATCTGTAGATTTAAAGCTCCACTTTTCAGCCATTCGGTCAATTTTCGTTAATTATTAATGTAAAATTGAATTTGATATTTCAGTTACACCCAGATGTCGCAGTTCGATTGGATGTACAAAACGACTCCGCCATCGGATTCGCCATATTGTCTAGCGATGTTGGGAGATCAGTGCAACTGGCCAAGAGGAAAGGTATAACAGCGTTTTTCGTGCGAAACCGATTCAACTAAATAACCCTCTGCAGGTCCTGGGAGGTTCGAGTGTCCTGAACGCGATGATCTACGTGCGCGGAAATAGACACGACTACGATCGATGGGCGGAGCAAGGAAACGAGGGCTGGTCCTACGACGAAGTACTGCCATATTTTTTAAAGTCCGAAGACAACAGAAACCCTTATTTAGCCAGAACAGCATACCATTCCACCGGAGGATACCTCACGGTCCAAGAATCTCCTTGGCGGACACCACTGTCGATAGCCTTTCTACAAGCCGGTCGAGAATTGGGGTACAAAGTAAGGGACTGCAACGGGAAGCATCAGACCGGATTTATGCTGTCGCAGGGCACCATACGCAGAGGTTCGAGATGCTCTACCGCCAAAGCGTTCCTCAGGCCAGTGCGCACCAGACGTAATCTTCACATTGCAATGTTCTCCCAAGTCACCAAAGTAATTATAGATCCGAAAACGAAAATGGCGAAGGGTGTAAACTTCGTAAGAGACAACAGATTGCACTACGTTAGGGCTAAAAGGGAAGTCATTCTTAGCGCCGGCGCTATAGGAAGTCCTCATATACTCATGCTGTCGGGAATAGGACCAAAAGAGCACTTGGAAGAACATAACATTCCAGTATTAAGCGATATTAAGGTAAAAGAGGCTTAAAACTTCGTCGACTAGCTTATAAATAATATGTCAACAGGTGGGTCATAACCTACAGGACCACATAGGCCTGGGTGGGTTGACATTTATAGTAGACGATCCTGTGACGTTTACCAAAACCAGGTATCAAACGATGGCCGTAGCAATGGAGTACATCCTAAAAGAAAAAGGTCCAATGACTTCTTTAGGAGGTGTGGAAGGTTTGGCTTTCGTCAACACGAAGTATGCTCCAGAGTCGGGTAGTTGGCCCGATATACAGTTCCATTTCGCTCCTAGCAGTATAAATTCCGATCCCGACCAGGTGATATATAAAAATTTCTGCTCATCAAGTTCAAAATCTTAATTTTAGGTCCGAAAAATCACAGGTCTGCGGGACAGCGTCTACAATACGGTCTACAAGCCTCTGAAAAACGCGGAAACTTGGACGATTCTACCGTTACTTCTGAGACCTAGGAGCACCGGTTGGATCAGGCTGCGTTCGAGAGACCCCAACGTTTATCCCGACATCATTCCGAACTACTTTACTCACGTTAAAGATATCCAAGTCTTGACCGAGGGTATAAGAATAGCTCTCAACGTGTCGGCCACAAAGGCATTTCAAAGGTTCAGATCCAGGCCTCATATGATACCATTTCCGGGTTGTAGACAGTACGCGTTTGATACAGACGAGTATTGGGAATGTTCTATGAGGCATTTTACATTCACCATATACCATCCCACATCTACATGTAAAATGGGTCCGTCTACTGACCCGGATTCTGTAGTAGACCCAAGATTGAGGGTCTATGGTGTCGGGAAGCTTAGAGTAGCGGATGCTTCTATAATGCCGCACATTGTCAGCGGAAATACTAACGCACCGACCATAATGATCGGAGAAAAGGCCAGCGATATGATCAAAGAAGACTGGGGCGTGCTTATCAGCTAGAACTTATGTGTGGTAAATTCGTATGTGTGGTAAAATGCGCAAATACTAATCAAGTTGCGTTTAGATAATAAAAAATAATTTGGAAACTAGTCAATAGGTATAAGTAAATAAGGTCGCCTCCTAGTCTATTATAAATATTAATGTCTTTAAAGTATAGAAGTAACATAGGATAGGAGTGTAGAGGTATCAAAGCTATTAATAAAACTGTGTAACTATTTTTATATCCGCCGTGGTTAATAAAATATTTATGTTTTTTATTTGGTTCCCTAGTTTTATTCAATTTTGATCTCCAAACATGCCATTTATTACGGAGCAATATTAGTTCTTCGCTAAAAGTGATAAATAGATATCAATTAAACTAAAAGTATTAGGCAATGTACAACATTCATTCCGGTTTACTGAGATATTAGGAACAAACTAACACAACGGTTCATCGGTCTTTCATTTTAAAACGATTTTAGTTTATTTTGGTTAATTCACGTGTGAAAGAAAATTAAATCACCTTCATAATTTTAAATGGAACATCTTGTATATTGTGGCAACTTTCTTAATATCTATGTTTTCTTTTCGCTTTCATTCCCACTGGATGCATTATATAGAAGAACAGGTATTCATGGTGTTACCAGGTAAAAATAAAAGTAATAGTAAAACAGTATGTAGGCTAAAGAAGTCACTGTATGGTCTAAAAAAATCTCCAAAATGTTGGATGAAAAAATTTTACTCTTTCATGCGAAATCAGGGTTTTGAAAGGTCACAGAATGATTATTGTTTATACTTTAAATTGAATAAAAACAGCAAATCATTTGTATTGTTATATATAGATGATCTTTTAATATTATGTACAGATTATAGTGAATTAGATAGTTTAGGTTAGTTTTAAATGAAAATTTTCATTTGAAATATTTAGGAGTTATTTCAAATTACTTAGGTATAGAAGTTAAACAGAGACTAAATGAGGGACTTACTGAATTAGGACAAAAAGAATATCTAAAAAATGTGTTAACTCGTTTTGATATGCAGAATTGTACATCCATTAACACTCCTTTAGACAGTAATTTGAAAATTTTTAAATGTAAAAAAGTTGACCTGGCATTGCAAAAATTATGCAGACGTATTGTGAGAAGATTAATGTACGCCGCAATGGGGTCTAGACCTGATTTTTGTGAGAGCATTAATTTGTTAAGTCAATTTCAAGACAAAGCAAACGAAAACTTATACAAAGCTTTAAAAAGGGTATTGCGTTATGTGCAGGGCACACTAGATTTAAAACTAATGTTTAAGCCAGATGACAAGAATTTGTTAATAGGATATCTTGATTCCGATTGGGGTGAAGATACGATTGATAGCAAACCCACCACAGCTTTTATATTTAAGATGTTTAATTGTACTATCGCCTGGGCCAGCAAGAAGCAGCAAACAGTAGCAATATCATCAACAGAGTCAGAATACATAGCGTTGAGACTAGCAGTAGCTGAAGCATGTTGGCTGAGAAAAATAATGTATAATTTTGGTTTTCATGTTGATAGCCCAACAACAATATATGAAGACAATCGATCAGCAATTTGTATAGTTCAAATTCCTGAAAGCAATAAACGAGTAAAACATATTAATGTTAAGATTTACTTTATCAATGAAAAGATCGGTGATGGTATTGTAACTGTAACATATGTTAAGAGTGAAAATCAACTAGCAGATTTATTTACAAAACCATTACCATACGTAAAATTTAAAACGTTACGTTTGGGTTTAGGTTTAAAATAGAAAAGCTAAGATGAGTGTTATTTGTTATGTTTCATAACCTCGTAAGGAATAATTTTATTGAGGGGGCGTGTTGGTAATCGTTAAACGAACCAATAAAATATATCCTACATCTATGGTCCGAGGAACGAATGCAGACTAGGGTCTAGTCAAGGTTAGGTTATGTTAGCATTAGAGACGCATGGTTACTTTTTGTACTTTTGGTATTCATCTTTTTCGTGTTGCGTTTTGTAGTGTCAATATATTGTTGAGTTTCGGATTTGTTTGAATATCCCGAATTTTTCAAAGAAATTTTCACAGACTACTGAAATACTATTTATAAAACTTCTGGATTCCTCCTGCGTCGGTTCTTATTGAATCGCCTGTTGGTTTCTTCAGAACTAAACTGAAACTGGGTTAAGTTGCGCTCTGAAGAAGCCAACAGGATCATTGTCGAACCGTCAGCAAGATAGATTCAACAACAACCGACGCAGGATGAATCCAGAAGTTTTGTAAATAGTTATTATATCACCGACTTATTTAGTACCCTCGAATGGAAAAATCATGAGTTTATTTGAACTAATTTTTGTGTCTACAGGCGTAGGTGGATGTCAAAAGAATATATTGAAGAAAACTGTTGATATTTATTTTTAATTAAATTTATATCTATAAAGAAAAGAATTTATTATTTACAAAACTATTATTATAATTAAGTTATCAATATGACTAATTACGCCATTTATTTATCAAGCCAATACAGTCTGCGTAATCAATCACCTTGATAATATAACTCTAAGAAATGTTTTAATTCTGTAGGTAACATTTAATTTGCATTTTCGTAGTGCTATAGAGAAACTTTGATCTGCTCTATGAATACCGTCGGTATATTTTAAGATTACTGAAGGATACTTAAACAAATTGATTCTTTTTAAAGACGCTACTACTGGTTAAATCACAAATCAATCAATCAATAAAGTGATTCTTCAGTTATTCGTTTAATAAAGACCCAAATTTGTTGCACAATATACAACTAACCCAAGTATTTTTGAGTGCAGACTGACTTATCTATTTTTTTTTAATAATTTTTCAATATATCCCACTCAGCAGTGTTCATTGCTATCCCGTTTCAATAAACAGATATTCTACAGTAATTATAAGCGGATATGAAGGAAACGTAATTTTGTATGTAGTATAAACATGTAACAATTTATGCAAGCTTATGGAAAAATTATATACGTAGCTGATATTTCAACCTGTAACTAAAAATATTCTGACGACAATCAGTTGAAAGTCAATTTTTCTAGGTCCAATTGAAATAAAATATGAAATAATTTAAGAAGCTTTCGATTATAAGCTAGAAACTAGTATCAACCCAATTTTGAACTAGTACATTGTATTGCCATGCATGTTGTTTTTTTTACTTTGGAAATCTCTCCCAGCGCGCTAGGCAATCTATGGTCTAATTTCATAAATGTGCGTTTAGTTTACAGTCAGATAATATTTTGGTACTAAAAACGGAAGCCTAAAAATTTTCCGTTACAGTCATTGCATACATAATGAGGTTTTGCTACTCGACACATTTCTAAAACAGATTATAACAGTATTATATATGTTATCCATATATAACAGAGGGAATCAAAAAAAAAGGACATCAAAATATCTGTTAACATTTTGCGACGAGCCAATTGAGAATCGCTGAACGTAGTCACAAAGTGAAAATGCTTTAAACAATTCTTACGACGTTAGGTAACGATGGTTACATAACGGCTTGAAAACGTGAAGAACACAATAAACGAGATTGTTTCGCGATGAGGCGTACGTGCATCTTCGAGCGCAAATCAGCAGGGTTCGATAAAGTAAAAGTGGATAATTCGATTTTCGACTAGGTCCATGTCGGGTGGCGCTTAGCGTTCGATTTCGTATACGCGTGAGACTGCGATATAGAATTTTGTTGTATTCCAATATCGACATCCCATATCGACGTCCACGGAACGTCGAGTTCAATTTTCTTTCAAATTAGAAATGCTAGAAAACGCTAGAGACGCTAGAAAACGATTCTTTCAGTCGTTTAGTGTTAGAATTAATAGAATGTCGATTAACAGTAAAATTTTATTTTATTTATTTATATTATTCATTTATTTATACTTAAATTTAACATTTTCTATAATATAAAAATACTGCAAAATGCTACCAATTAACGCACGTAATATGTCGAAAGGGTCGAGGGGTACAATTGGATGGTATCCGAATTGAAAATGTGTAAAAATGAAAGGAGGAAACTATCCTTTCTCCATAGAGGATTACTGAGTTTAAGGATTTATTTAGATTAAAAACAAACATTATCTCTTAACAAGCCACATCTGGGGCCATCATTCGCATTAACTACCTTTCCTAGAAATAATGAGCAAAGTCTAAAAATATAGATTTTGACTTTATATTTCCTAATTTACGGCGAGTTATGACTTACCTATATGCAAATATTAAGATATTATCTGAATTTAATAGTTTTTATGGGATCATTCGAAGATAATACTTGGCACAAGAGGCAAATTAAAAGCATATTATGAGGGAGAGCTAACTATCATGCGACAGAATACTTGTGATTATATGACGACAGTTTCTTAATGTTTTTTTAGTTTTGAAGATGACACTTAGGATGGTAAGGTTTAATATAAGCAACTACAGCCACCTCAAAAGCGGAGTACAGACTCCAAGACGATAAAGCGTGTAACAGTGATCCTTCAAAAGTAACGAAATAAACATATAAGATCTATTTTGAAAATTTCTCAACTTTTTTTTTAATTATGTTATTGTCGACATATTTTTCCAGAGGATTTATGCCGGGTGCGCCAGAACTATGAAACTTTATCTGTAATATGTTTGTGTTTACAGTAAATAGTTAACAGTTAAACAGTACAAGCGAAAAAATCATTTTAAGTTGCAATTCGGTATAAAAATTTTGAGACAGAGACAGTGAAAAACCTTTATAATTATTGTCAATAAAAAAAATAGCGAATCTAACAAAAAGTGGGTTTTTCGACAAAACATAAAAACTAAAAACTATTGATGCATTTAAATATATTGAAAAACCCTTGAAAACATTTATTGATGTAGACAACATTTTTGCTTATAAAATGACTTTTTTCCATTCGCTTACAAATACTCAAATTTTTCTATTATGCGATTTTTTCTTTCTTTACAAACTAAATCACTACATTTATTTGTTATAACTTTTGTCTTCAATTCCAATCCTTATTATAATTTTATATTGTTACTTTCAACAGGCAAAATTTTCTGATTCTGATTCCGCCAAGAAGAGGACAAAACAGCCATGTGCGTGCTATGCAAATGTGAAGGCCTATCGAGAGTGAGTTTTCATCTGTTAGACATAACCAGATCAGAGGCAAAGAGCTATACCAAGGAGGCATTATCGAAGCTGAGTCTAATGAGAGTACAGGTCAATGGTTAACTCTCCTAATTTGGATCTTGAATCGTGTTCGTTTTAACACCAAATGACAATAAAAAAATATATGTGAACAATAAGGTTAGATGATTCCAAATTTCGCATGATACAAGAACAATATTAAAACGGCTTTTTGAAATTCTGAGCTCAATCGATACTAGTTGACGTATCGAATTAAATCGATATCAGAATTCTAGGTGACCTCAGGCAACCAAATCGAAGAAAGGCTCGTGGGCGGTTAGATTGAAAGAACATCCGACTACATGTTTGGCGTTTCTTGTACCTTGTATTATACGGTCACGATTTTAATCTATTTACTTTTGAAACCGGTGGCGTTCTTACACTTTCTCTTGGCCCGATGCAATTACGATATGTAATCCCAACTTGGCGCTGTGAAGGTGAACGTATTCCGGAAGAATGATAACAAGGCTGACCTACAGAGAGAGCAAAATTTATATTTATTTATGTATTTATTTGTTTATTTATTTATTTGGTGAACATTAGGGATAGTACAGGCTAATCCCAACGATGTCATCTCATAACAATTTACATAAGAAGAAAAGAAGAAGAAAGGAGAAACATTATATAGTCCTATAAATCACATATTCATTTCTGACTATACTATACAGTAGATAATTTTGCTCATAATTTGCTTTGTTCTAAAGGTATGCTGAAACATTTCAGCTAATCTGAGAATACCCAAAGGGCGACTTAATTGAATATTTGGCTAATTTGACAATTTCTGTATGATATGACCAAATGAGCTAACTGTATCTGAGCAACAAACTGTGCGAGATTTTTTCATGCACCGTTTGAAAAATTTTCGAGCACTTAGAAAAACTCAATAAATTTCCCATAAAAATATATAAGCAAAGCAAAGACTACCTACCAGTCTTCTTCCAGCAATATAATAAAAATTATTACTATTCATTATTGAACACGTTTCGGTTAAGCAGTCATCATCATTAGATTATTACATTTTTTGTAGAACAATTAAAATAAATAAATTAAAACAAGGTTAGTAAAGGACAAAAAGAAAACGAAACATAAAAACAATATAAATTAATAATTTTTTAACGAAAAAAAATATGGTATGGAAAATATAAGAAAAATCTATCTTTTCGGTTCTGTTACATTAGTCTCCAAAATTTATTAATTAATCTCTTTTTAATGTTGTATTGCACAGGAAAATTTTTATATCGAAAAATGTTTTTATGTCTCTTTCAAAACAACGGACTTCCCTTTCTTATTAAATACAACAATTGTTTTGGACGACAACAATGGAGTGCAATTTTTGGAGAACAAAAATAATAGTTCGATGGCCTTGCATGCTGCAGGCGTCCTAATAAAACTTATACTATTTTCGAAAATAATTAACACTCGTTCGCAATTTTGGACAAACCAATTTACACTTGAATACTAAATATTATTCAACGCGTTAAAATTTTGAAGGCCGCGACTCACGCTTGATTCACTAATTATCTCACACGATGCGTTCAGAAAAAGTTACTCAATATCTTCTCTGAGTTAAACGTCAGACACGTCAATTGGACTTTGCGAAGTTTGTGAGGTCGGGAAAAAAGTAGTCTAAATAATTATTAATTTTGGATAGCTCTCTGTGCATGACATAAAACATAAAAGCTTTCTGTCTTTTTGATATTAAATTAAAAAACAATTCGATTACGCTAGATGACTTGCGCTAATAAGTTAAATTATTTATTAATCTTAGGGTGACGATACTTGTTGTCGATTTTGACACCTCACCATTTTACTTGATCTACCAACGGAGATATTCCAATAATTGTCCACTATTAATCTGGGAAAAGTTATTATTTTAAATATACGCGATTTCCTAAAATACAATTTTCCAAATTTTAAGATTGGAGTTGGAAAGTCCACCATTTTAAATTACTGCGGGGGAGAAAAAGAGTGGAACTTCCCAAGCAAAAGTCTAGAAAGGGTCCCGGATGAAGATACCAAAATTGTAACTTCACAAGTTCACTCTTTTCATTTTAAATCTACCCACCCGAGATAATACATTAATGGAGCTTACAATTTACAAATGATGGTGTAACAAGAACAATAAAAACGACAAGGTAATGGAATCCATTAGCGAAAAACTATATACAAACATATACAATTTATAGTTTTACATGAATGCACAAATTTATTTTGTTTTTGTGAATTATAGTGAGTCCGGGACTGAAGCAGATACGTCTGATTCTGATAAGATTACACAAACTTTGTTAATTCCTTCCGGGGTTTTAATAAATTTTACATAGAAAGTTGCTCAAATTTTCTTGATGATCAAATTTTCTATGGGTTCCTTAAAACAACCAACAAGCAGAGAAAGAGAAAGAAAGAAAGAGGGAAAAATATGAATTATTTGTGAAATGTTCAGACACTATACTTTTTTTGTCTATTTTGGCTAATACGGAACAAAAAATAGAAGGCAATTTTATCCCAAAAAAAATTTGTTTATTGAGTAATAAATATATATAAATTTAGCAGAATTCATGAAAATAGTTAACAAGACTACCCTGCTAAAGTCATACTTTATGTATTCCACATTGCTCTTAATCCTTCCGACAATAAATTAAAAAAACTCTAACTTATAAAAATCGCTTTTGGAACAATAATACAATGTTGTGAAATACATAACTTTAGGTTGCTCCTGTATCTTACTTAAATCGAGACCCAGTTTGAATTTAAAAGAGACGCCGATTGGAATAAGTCGTATCTTCGACCCAACATAACATCTAAATAATCCACATTAAGAAATGATATTTACGAGTATTTTTAAAATACAGGGTATATTTGATTTTTTTATTTTCGATCAGTCAGCAAATACACAAAACAATACCGTGCTACGTCATTTTGTTCCATGATGGACCATACGTGAAAGTTATGCAAAGCAGACAGACAAATACACGATCGTTTTAAGTTGGAATGTCACCCGCCAATGACGTGGTCTATTTTCAGCTCGTGGTTCACGCTTGGCGGGGATGAACACTATGGCAGAGGAACCACGAACCAGGGTCGGATTTCGATTCAGTCGAAGACTTCGGCGGGTACCTTCAACTTTTACTTTCGTCTCACGTTTCGGATCGACGATTAAGTGAGTTTTTTTTCTGTTACAATACGCTTTGATCGTTTCGCTGTAGAAAAAAAGCGCGACATTCATTTTGGAACCAATATGTATTTTTTGTTTCTAGATTGGCCCAGCAATCGAATCGAGGAGCAGATTTTTTAGGGTAAGTGGGATTTTTTTCCTCCAATCCGTTTCCCAAATACATATAATTAAATCGCTGTTAACTTTACACTGTTATAATACAAGAATATCAATTAAATTTACAGAAAATTAAACATTATACGTTCCCAGAGTGTAAAATTAGTAAACATTACGTCCGTTAATGAAGCAAATTAATTTTTAAACTGAATGCTTTTTTGGACAATATATCTCTGAAGATTATTACCTTAATTTTGACAAACAAAGTGAAGGGTTAATAGGGAATTTGACATAGGCGGGAGGCGTCAACAACGAACAACGAAACCAATTAACACAAAAACCAAAAATCTGTTACGAGATTTAAATGCATTACGCAATCGGTGTTAAGCTAACCTTACTTGGACGATGAGCGGAGCCAATCTTACATAACAAAGTATTTCGTATGTAGGTTATAAATAATGAGCGCCAGAATTTTGACGACAAAACAAACCGGTTACGGGCAGCTTTAATTAAAAAGTCACCTGAATACAATCGACATATAATTATGTAAAAAGCTTAGATCCAATTTTGATTAATAGACCACATAAACAAAAAAATGAAAGTAAATTATAAGAACAGCTACAATGAAAAAATATTTCCCCCCTTGAGAGGTTTGAAGATCTCTTCCGAACAACTTTTGTGCGTTTTTATAGAATGCGGGCCACTGAATTTTTTTCAAGAATATTCAATTTGTCAATAAATTTCATTATTTTCATTAAGATAAGGAATTTTATGGCATCACAGTCTCATAAAGATTTTGTAATTTATATGTGGAAGGACAATGTTGCAAAAAAATAAAAAATATGCCTCTAACACGTTACCAATAACAGGCTAATCTAATTTTTCGTATTACTTTTTAGCTGATATTTTGAGCGGAATGCAATCACGATATTTTTACTTAAAAACACATTTTAATTAATACAACACGTAACCAAAAAAAGGAAAGTAAAACAGAAGAGTAGTAATAATTAACAAAAAATATTTATTTCCCATATTGAGAGATTTGAAGATCTCTTCAAAATCATTTGGATAGTTTTGTAAGTAATCTTATAGACATTACCGACTCATACACACTTTTTAATTTATATTTGAACCGACCGAATGGTATAAAAATCTAAAAACATGCCTCCTGCAAATTGCAAATTCCAATTCAAGGGACTTATTTCATTTGTGAATTTGCGAATGTTTCGCATTCTGATGAAGTTAATCAGAATCAAGTGAGAATCGTATAACCATTCATTTAATTATTACATGCTTCCAACAATTACATGTTTTGGAAAACATGGAAAAATCAAATTACATAATATCATACCATATTACATATTATTATATTACATAATATTATAAAAAATAAATAAATATGATGTACACAATTTAAGACAAAGTAGAAAGTATTGTTGACATAATGGTGAGGCACTTTTTTCACAATCAATAAATTAATTACCATAATAAAATTACAGCATTCACAAGTTATTTGACAATGTTTACGTGAAGTCGTTATTTAGGCCACTACTTAAAATATTCGGTAATTATGATGGATGACCAGAGATACTTAATATTTACGAGTCACCCGTAGATTATTTTTCGTTCGTTGCCGTCATTTTTTTTTTTTCATTTTCATTTGACGGACGCAGTTGATTAATTGCTTTCACCGTATTGTACGCTTCACCTGATGCGCGAACAATGGCGAGCCGGCAATTTTGGTCAGTTCCAATGAGGTTCACCTGTTAATTTTTACACTTAGGCAATAGATAATACTCAACTCAACAATTTTAAGAAATGTTAACTATATATTATATTCATATTTATAACTTGGGACGTTTTGTTATATGAATCGATATTTATTTAGTAAATACAACACAGTAAATACAATAGTCTTGTAGTCCTCGTCGATCAAAAACCATGAGGTATAAAACAATCGATCCGCTGTCCTGCTACAAATAGATTTAATTGTAAACCACATAACTCAACTTTTATTATATTAACTTACACTTATTGTTCCGTGCTGGTTTATATTATGTCGGATCCAGACGAACCGGCCAAAGCAACGACAAAACAAGGGCATTCGTGTTTCGTCCCATTTCTAAAACATTTTTTTCTTGTTTTTGTTTTCTTTTTCAAAATTAGAGCATTGTTTCGTCTCGAGTCGGTAAAGATTAAATCTCTGTTTTGTCTAAATATTTTACAAGCTTTCGAGGCAGTGCCTGTTGACAAAAGTAGGAGACCAGTGAATCAGTTAAATATCAGAAAATTTTGTTCTGTCGTACTAGTACTAATATTGCAAACGAATAAAATTGTAGACGGAGCATCCCTTATTATCGCGCCCTATAAATAAGGGCTACTAAAATCATTACAAGAACACCGATGCATTGAAGTAGATTTATTTGAAATAAAGAAACGAAAAACTTGACTTTGGCAGAAATCGCCTGTTTATAGCAGTATTAAAGTTGTTATTAACCTTTCTATTACATTTATGTGGTTAGTATATGTTTTGGCAAGAGCAGGATCAATGCAAGCCTTCGGTGGACATTCTTAGATAATTCACAAAGCTTGAACGAATCTTACCTCTTCTCTTCTAAGCTTGGTCTTATCCAAAATCGTTTGCGTTTCATTTTTTCCCACTAGAGGATGAAGAGGAGAGAAAAATATAACAACTGGCGATTAAGAATAAATCCTCCTTTTTAAAATTTTCCTCCTTCTGGAAACATCAGATGGTTAAACACCTCATTCGCAACAACTGGATTTTGTTGTTGTGATGTGGACAGACACCTAAAACATTGTCTCCATTTTGTAGTACTTTTATCCCAAAATAAATTTTGGTCTGCTTGGTCTGGAACCGGCTTTAGGATGATTTTATAAAATTTAAACGTTGATCAACAATATCAAAGAACTCGCTTCGGATAACATAAAATATGTAATTATTTATTGCTTGTCACGGATAAGATTCATCGGAATTTGGCAAACGCGGTTCATTGTCTCAAGTCAGTGGGAGTTACTTTTCACGGGCATTGTTTTACCGCGAGATTGTAATGCTCGAATTGAAATTGCCCGCAACCGTCAGAGATAAATTCACTGGCAAGGTAAATATGCGGAACACAATTCAAGGCGGCGCTGGTTACGTGATCCAATTTCACTTTCTTCCTTCGCCAGCCAGTGGCGTGCTCCGATCGTGTGACAGCCGCCAGTTAACGACTGGGGTTTTCCATATAAACCGAATTCTCGGAGGTATGGTTTTGACTATTATTGAGAAGATAGCTCTTATGTAATACACGGTGTTTAAATAAGTTAGCCAGGACTCACGTGGAGCCTTTTTTTTATTGATACGGATAACAAAAGACAATGATAGTTCTCATAAAACTATCGTGAGTGTATTTGGTGTAAGTGTCGTGCACATAACATATATATAATATAATGTATAGTATATCAGTTGGCAGCATTCGACTAAATTATTTCTAAATAAAACCATCAAAAATAATTTTTCCTCATCTTATGGCATAACTTATTTAAATTTAGATCGGAGGACTGATATGGGTTGTCGAACTCAATCGCCTCAATTTAATATGAAAACGTGGAAAAATATGCAGAAAGTGCGTTATTATAACAGTAATACTTTCAGAAAACGTTATTGTTCTATTTCAGTTTTTAAGATAAAAAATATAATTTCAAAACCTAATTAGATAAAGACTTTGATTGGCTTTTGATCCATTGTTTATATTAACTTTGTCAGTGAATTGATTTTTCGTTACGATGAATGTTTTTTGCATGATAAAAATCAGTATAGTGACGGAAATTTACATTTCCAAACCGTTTTCTGATTGCGGTTGGGACAAATCTATAATATAATATATATAATAATCTGTAATATACACCTATTAAAATTTCTCGCATTTATAATATGGAACACTGTAAGCAAGTAAGACCAAACAAATTAAAAAATACACCAACGAGTAAAAACCTGAATTCTATAAAAACTTAACAAAAGCAACCTTAAAAAATTCATTTGAATGTATTTGAATGGCAACTTTAAACAAAAACAAAAATCCTTAATTAATATATATACGCGCGCTTTTTCCCATCATGTAAACGAAAAACAAAAGGTAACTTAAACTTTTTAACCCTTAAAAAGGTTTTATAAACTAAAGTGGTGGAAACAGCAAAATTGAAGCCAGCATGTTCCATCTAAAAGTTAAGTTAACCTACAAGGCGGTCATATCGAAATTTCCTTACAAATTATTCACCAGTTTGATTTCACATGAGCGAAGCGACAGCTTAATAAATCAATGACTGAAGATGTTTATTTTTTATTTATTTATGAATGTGTTGGATATTATATTTCGTCGACGATAACATTTTTTGGTAATATTTTTGCAAAATATCCGATTGCTCTCGAACTCGTCGTTCGCGTGCCGGAACCGCCCGAACTGGTCCGCAGTGAATAAAGAAGCTGATAAAGTGACACTTTCCTCACGCTTGATGGGTGCATACTTTGTATTTGAACGTAGGTAGTAGAAAAAATTATTCAAAAAATGTTAAACCATCCGTAATGAGCGTCCGTGTTTTATAGTAAAAGTTGAAAATAATTACTGATATTGCACTTACGATAAACCTACTTACTGCGCAACCAACTCATTATAAACATAAATAGTCGATTGCGTAATCAGAAATGGCATTTCATATCGCAAATTCCGGGCGTGCGTCCGGTTCATAACACTTTCTTCGGAACCGTTCTTCAACTTCCCGACACGAGTCATAGACACTACACACCTACTTCGCGATATACAGACCCGAGTATACAATTTTTTTTTTAAATATAACTGGATTAATTTCAGCTTTGCTTAAAAATTGGTAAAATGTCCGTTTCAGAAATACTAACTTTTTTATGACGTGTCGACGAAAAACAACATCAAAATCAAATTCATACAAGTGCAAGAGTTAAATCAACGCTCAAACAAACTTACTAATAATATCTACAATAAAGTTTAAGGGAAAATGCTGAAAAGAAACATCTTGTAGGATATTAAAAACCGAGAGCCTCAAAGTGAGAAAATAATTGTGCCTTACTACAAAAGTCAAATGCATTAACGCCTCACACGTTTGGGACACTGGATAGCGAAGTTAAAAAGCTACGCAAATTCCCATTATAGGTAGTGAAACTATGTAAAATATCCTTTTTCAGCGTTGATTTAATTTTGAAGTAATGGGATCGAATACGTTTGAGGTGGGTTTGAGCTCATCATAGCGCAAAGTTCGGTCTATGTACACCGTGTGAAAAAATAAAACCATCCACTATAAGATCTGGAAACCCATAGGAGATAAGAAAAAAAGTTTCTCACAAAAGTTTCTTGGACTCTCCGACATAAACTTTGTTATTTTAAATTGACCGCCCTGTATAATTCGACATTTTTTGAATCCTTGGTTAAAATAAAGGTTACTTTTTTAAGAAATTCCTATTCGAACTTTGCATAGTTTAGGCATAAGTTGAGGTTGTGTTGTTGTTTTTTCTTTCATATTTTGATTCCCCGTATAAAATTGTGTTGTTACGCTACCGATCCAGGTATTTCAACGAAAATTTAACCGCAGACCAAGGAAATGATGCACTACTCAATAAGTTTGACACATGCGCCTCAGCTTATACAGGATGTCCCAAATAGGTGGTGCCGTTTTGGCGAATTAAATTGACACAATCTCAAAATTTGCAAATGGAACACCGTATGTTTTTATTCACATATCAATTTCAGGACAAAACATAAGGCAAGTTTGTAATTTATTTAATATTAAAATTTTACTTAATTTTTGCGATATTCGAGGTTTCAGATAACACCGGATAAATTTATTTATTTTTTAAATATCACGATGCTACTTCATTTAAAGATATAATGCTCCAGATATACGAATAAAACCTATTGCTAACAATACAGGGTATCATTATAGAATGGAAATTTTGAAAACAAACGACCCTATACTACAAACTTTAACAGAATTAATAAAATTTCAGAATTCATATTTAAAGTTAATAGTTAATAGTTAATTATCTAGCTTAATTGAGAATACAAAATAACAAAAATAAATAATTAAAGCTTATGGGTTAACCAAAGAATTATACCTTACTGCAATACAAATAAAATATATACTAACAAAAAACCTGACAACTATGACCTTTTTGAATAGAAACATGAACGACAACAAAAACGAACAGAAATGATTAAGTTTGTTTATATCTTAATGTGTCAAAAAAAAAAGATTGTGATGTCATAGCCAACCACGTTTTTATATATTTCAATATTTCTTTGCTGTTTTGATGCCAGATGCGACGAGCATTTTAAAATGAACATTTTGAACTAAACCTTATTTCTTCTTAGTTAACTTTTTTTAACAGATTTATTTATTGAAATGTGTTTCCTTGGTTAGTTAGCCTATAAACTTTAATTATTTATTTTTGTTATTAGCTATTTTCAATTAAGCTAGATAATTAAAACTATATGTTTTTTTAAATATGAATTCCAGAGTTTTACTAAATCTGTATGGTCAGCAATAGGTTTTATTCATATATCTGGAGTATTATCTCTTTAAAAGAGGTAGTAATATGTCTTTGCTATTTAAAAAACACCCAATATTGCAAAGTGACCTAATGTGGGCAGTTCTAAATTCAACAAAAATTTATACGGATGTTATCTTGAACCTAGAATATCTCAAAAAATAAGTAAAATTTTAATATAAGATAAATTACAAACTTACCTTGTTTTTTGTCCTGGAATTGATATCTGAATAAAAATATAGGGTGTTCTATTTGAAAATCACCAAATCCCCTGCATAACCTGAGGCGCATCTGTCAAACTGATTGAGTACTGCATCATGTACTTAGTCTGTGGTTAAATTTTCGTTGCAATACCTGAATCAGTAGCGTCACAACACAATTTTATATGGGGCAATCAAAATATGAAAAAAAAAAACACAGAACCTCAATTTCTGCCAAAACTATGCAAAATTCGAATAGAAATTTCCTAAGAAAGTGACCTTTATTTTAACCAAGGACTCAAAAAATGTCGTGTTCCATTTAAAATAACAAAGATTATGTTGGGGGGAGGGACATTATTGGGATACCCTGTATCAACAAAATTAAAATATTTTAAATCTTCAGGAGAGCCCAAGAAACTTTTGTATGAAACTTTTTTTTCGTATCTAATATAGGTTTCCAGATCGTATAGTGGATTTTTTTATTTGGTACACGGTGTACAAAAAAGTTCCTTGAGATGACTGTTACAACCGATACAGAAAGTGCGGGTTCCTTTTACGAAATAATAGAACGACCGCTGCTTTTCGCAGTCCTGACCATTCTCGAACGGCCATTTTCCCTAAAACGGTCGTGTCGCGTGAAAGTATCAAACGTCTCGTTCGGTACAGTTTTCAATTCGCTTCCGCCATATCTCACCGTTTCCTAGTGATAAATCTGAACGATTAACCGTCTCCTGAAAATCGCTCCAAGAATGAAAGCGAAAGTGAAAGGTGGCATTTCCTCGACCCCGTTTTATCTTCATCGCTGGCTAAATGTCACAGAGAAATCAAATTTTCGAAAAATTCAATTGTGCGAAGATTAGGAATACTACTTTTGCCCGTTTCGTTACAAATAGAACCAGCTCCCACAGCCGGACAGTATAGTAATCGACCGACGACATTTTTCTTTATGGAAAACATTCTGGAACCTCTCTTAACCGAACTCTAATAAGTCTAACAGAAATAAAGGAAAAAGTTTATTACGAAAATTTTACAGTTTTGCATTTTATAGATATACAGATATAGATAATTTACATTTTTAAATGACACTATATTTTCCTTAATTTTTATCAAAGATCAACCTAACTTAAATTATTATTATATCTTATAACTTTTATTTATTTGTTATTATTTTATTAAAAAATGTATATAAAGCGCTCTTTGCTATATTCTTACCTAAACATACACCTATAAATATAGTATTAAATAATTATTAATCTTATTTTGATAATTTTTTGGAGGACACCGGACCCAAGAACTTATACACAACTCTAATTCAAGTGTCCTCGCTTCTATTATTGGCTCTACTGAACTTTAGGGCGTTCTGTAATGTTAGAAACTATCAGCAGCTCCAAGATATATATTCCCCTCAACCTTAGACTGTTTTTTTTTTAATTTTTCACTTGAATTAAGGCCGATTTCAAATCTACCTTTAGCTTTTAAGGTCAATTTTTCCTTTGTCGAAGTATTTTTCTTAAATTTTTTAAAATTTTTACTTTAGATCATCTTTGTAGAATTCCTCTATTTTTTGTTTATAGCTCAGAATAAGGCAAAATATCAAAAATTAAACTTACATATCTAATTTTAAATCGAATTTTTTCATTTTTCTAACGAGCTATATAAATTTATATAATTTTTTAATTTATTTAAATACAGAATTTAAATATTTCTATCATACCTTTATACGTTACGAAATCAACCTTGCAACATTTTAAACAGTAAACGCCCACTGTGTAATTACTCTATATTAAGATCAATAAAAATACGTATTATATCTGTTCTATATGCTCTATACCTAAATTTAACTGTTTCAGGGAAAATCGTAATTTATTAGAAAATCATAATAATTTGTGGAGAAACATTATAACATTGCATGCTCTTAAAACAGTGATACCATTGTTCACGTGAAAAAAAAAATCATTTTGTCAAACACAAATACCACATTTTTATAATTTTATCGAGCTTACCATTTAAAAAAACTCTGAAAGATTTGCTGTTTCAAAACGTTTCGAAATATTAGAAATAATACGTTTTCCCAAAGCTATTAAATTGCCAAGAAGATAACCGCAAAATGTGCAAAAAAAATCGAGAATTTTTTATAAACCCTGTAAATCATGTCGTCTAATTAAGTTATTAACACAAAAATTATATACTTTTTACATTACACAACATTACATTTTACAACATTTTGATATTTTCTGAAAAGTATCCAGCCAGACAAAAACCGAAAACAGTGTCAAACGAATAGGCAATAAAAAATATCATTTTATCAATTATTCTTTTTATTTTACAAAAACGTATAAAATACGAGATCATTCTTTTTATTAAAATGGTTGCACGTTTCAGTTTAATGACTGACTGCCCTCTATGGAGCGTGTCTCGCTCGTTATCTCTCGAATGGCGGGATGTGTAAACATGCGTTGATTATCAAACAGGGCTGGCTCCAGTCATTGTAAGACGTTCGTTTCGTCTTTTCAGAAGCCGACTAAGATGACATCCATCGAAAGCAGTTGATGTAGACATGCTTCTTTTACCTCTGCGCTTACCAAACAAGAGAAGGCTCCTATTCCGCTGGCTGAAAATGAAAATTCGTCCTCCAGACTGAGGGAGGAAGAGTTTTAGATTTTATTTTAGTCGAGACAACCAGAATCTAGTCATCGAATAAGTAGAGGGTGAGGAAAAATCGCGACCTGGAAATTTTACCAAACTAAATGGTCATGATTGGTTTAGGTATCTGTGATATCAATTAACACGGTTAGGATTAGGCTATGGCTCTGGAAACGCTGCTCGTATCTACTGCGTTGAAAAGCGCCGGCGTAATCGGGTCGACCATTTGGATCTTGCCTTTGATCTTGGCCAGTTTAGCTTACTTAAATTACAATAGGCTCGATCCCGAATCCCCGGTCTACGACCAAAAGAATCTCTACAAGGAATACGACTTTATTGTGGTGGGAGGCGGATCGGCTGGAGCAGTTGTAGCGTCGAGACTGTCGGAGATCTCAGACTGGAAAGTACTTTTATTGGAAGCAGGTCCGGACGAGAACGACATTTCGGACGTGCCGTCGCTGGCCGCTTACCTGCAACTGTCTAAGCTCGATTGGGTGTACAAAACAAAGAATACAGGAAAAGCATGTCTAGGTAAAACCATTTTACTTAAGATGATGTACTGTTATCGACGTGATTGTAGGAATGAACAACGGACAATGCAACTGGCCAAGAGGCAAGGTCCTTGGAGGTTCCAGCGTACTAAATTATATGTTATATGTTCGAGGGAACAAGCACGATTATAACTTGTGGGAACAACTTGGTAAATTTCTCACTTATAGGCGATAAGGCGCCATTAATTTTTATCTCCTTGCCAGGCAATCCAGGGTGGGGATATCGGGACGTCCTCAAGTACTTTATCAAGTCCGAAGACAACAGGAATCCGTACTTAGCCAAGACGCCCTACCACGGTAAGGGTGGGCTTCTAACGATTCAAGAATCGCCGTGGCGATCGCCTCTGGTTGTAGCTTTCGTCCAAGCTGGCATGGAACTCGGTTATCCTAACAGGTAAATAAGTTCCAAAAAAATTTATGTTTGGTATGCGAAATATATAAATAACTTTAGTGGCAAAATAAGGTCGATTTGAGATTTTTTTTTGACAAAATAGCAATCGGCACCATTTTTTTGATTGTGCCAGTTGAATAATACAAGTATATTCAGTGAAATCGTCATATGAACCATGCCAACGTTTCGGCTCTAAACCTCAGTCATCGTCAGGACTAAACCCAATATGTGATGGCCAACGTTGTCATTTTGCCATATTTGTTCAAATTTGTCCATATTTATCCAAATTTTGTATAATTCAAATATTTCTTTTATTTCAGAAAAGTTCGCTTCTAAAAAACGCTTAGCTTGTTCGGTAGAATGCATAGTTTTTGCACATAAATAAATGAAGATGTTTCGAATAATGATAATTTCGATGATATGAAAAGCCAACGATAGCTTTTATTTTTCTTTAGTTCTGATAAATAAATGTTCGATTTATAGATTTCATAATTGAAGAATCCTCATTTTTCTGTAGGATTGAAGGAATTGTGAATTGTAAAGAAAACTAGAATCGTACCAACATCAAAAACCTATTTTAATTCATGCTGAAAGGACTTGGTCGCCTGCGATTTCGAGACCTGAACAAATAAGAGTACTTCTTTACTTTGACAGGTTGATTTCTGTTTGGTAGATTACCGTAAATATCAACCTTTTTAAGGGTAATTTTTTTCGAAAACGATGGTAATGAACCTATAGGAGGATAAAAACTTTAACTTACCTTTGGTAAGATTTACAAGCATTAAATTCGTTGAAAAAGAAACTAGTAATTATGGCAGTCTCTTAAAGAAATAAAACCTGGATAATTTCTAGAGACATAAATGGAGCAGAACAAGCCGGTTTCATGATAGCCCAAGGTACAATCAGACGCGGCAAGCGGTGCTCCACGGCCAAGGCTTTCCTCAGGCCAGTCAAGCTCAGGAAAAACATACACGTAGCACTCAACTCCCACGTTACAAGAATCCTGATCAACCCCTCCAACATGCGTGCCTTCGGCGTCGAATTCGCACGGAACGGTGAGGACTGAGCACCATTTAAAATATCATCTCAACGATACCGCTTCCAGGCAAGAAACAAGTGGTCCTCGCTAGGAAAGAAGTGATTATGTCAGCCGGGTCCATCAACACGCCCCAGATAATGATGTTATCCGGTATTGGACCGAGACGTGAGCTTAACAAGCACAAAATCCCTATTCTAAGGGACCTCCCCGTGGGCGAGAACATGTACGATCACGTCGCCATGGGCGGGTTAACTTTTAGAATCGACAAACCGGTCTCCATAGTACAAGACAGGTTCCAAGCTATTCCGATGACCATGCAATACGTTCTAAGCGAAAGAGGACCGATGACTACCCTCGGCGGTGTTGAGGGGCTAGCGTTTGTAAATACCAAGTAAGTAATCGCATGTGTTATAATATTTCTTGAACTACAGGGTGCGGCAAAATGATAGGTACTATTTGGGATGTTGATAAAAACCAAACTACATATAGCAAACATTTTTTTAAAATTATTTTTGAAATGTACATTTTATGCCATTTAGGAATGTTATTTTTTAAAAATGATGGTCTTTTAAATGACGGCCATTATTTTCAAGGCACTCTTGTAGTTCTCGCGGAAGCGCATCATTACCCGATGGATCATTTCTTGAGGAATTAAGGCAATTTCTTGTCTTATGGCTGCCTTCTTCTAAAGTCCGCGGACGATGTGTGAAAAGTCTCGCTTTCAGGTAACCCCAAAGAAAAAAGTCGCAAGGCGACAAATCAGGCGAACGTGGCTGCCAGCCAAGATCACTCCGTAAAGACACCACTTTGTTTAGGAACATTTCTTGAAAAAGATTTAGTGAACGACGCGTTGCGTGCGATGTAGCACCATACTGTTGGAACCAAAGATGTTCTCTTTGATCGTTGTTCAACTCGTTCGATTTTGGACGCAGGAAATTGTTAAGCATATCAAAATATCGGTCTCCGTTGACTGTTACCGTTATTCCATCTTCTTCGAAAAAGTAAGGACCCCACACGCCGAACTCCGAGATTGCATACCAGAAGATGACTTTTGGACTGTGAAGAGGTCGGTCATGAAGTTCCTGTGATTTGCTGACCAATAACGGAAGTTTTGCTTATTTACGGTACCCGAGTGGTGAAAGTGAGCTTCATCACTAGACATGAATACAGCGCCTCCGAGAATGTTTTGAAGAATATCCCGGCATCAATTTGTACGGGTTTCAAAATCTCTTGCGCTTAATTCCTGCACTACAATCATTTTGTACGGACGCATTTGGAGTGAGTTGTGTAAAATTCTTCGAACACTTCTATCGGGAATTCTCAAAGTAGCTGCATGCTTACGAGCTGAACGCCTTGGAGACTGTTGTATGGAAACTCTTACTGCATTCACATTTTCCGGTGTTCTTACTGTCCTTGGTCGGCCAGTAGATTTTCTGTTAAGCGCAGAACCTGTTTCCCTGAAGTGTAAAACCCACCGACGCGTCGCTATTACAGATTCCCCATTTCTAATAAACTCGACAACGAAAGCACGATGCACTCCGCTCCAAGCCATGTCGATAACTGAAAATTGCATACTTTTGTCTGCCTAACGCGAGTGCGTTCACAGTGTTACCGGTTTTACAAACCGAACAACCACTATTTGAAATCCTGCCTACCTTTTTGCCGCACCCTGTATATTAGCTTGGCTTTTGACGGCAATTATCGAAAAAACTTGCCGACGGCAATAAGACACCTAGCCAATCCTACAATTCCTAAGTCGTTGTTGTAGGACAGATACGGACTTTAAAGGTTTTAAGGTTTTATTGTTTATTTATGCATAATAATATCGCATTAGTAATAATATCAGCTCTGATAGTGTGCGTTATCCATTACAATGACACTGTTATCAGGAATATTTCTTAAAAGATAAACGATAGCCCAAGCTTAGAGTCCTCAAGATTCTTGGCAGATAACACCAAGCAATTTAGCATAATTCCTCTTTTCCGCTTTCCTTTATTTTAATGTGCGTTTGTCTGACATTTTAACCGAAATTGCATCATGTGTATCGAATCAAGTTTAATCTAGGTAAATTATACAACTGTTGTGGGATTGATACTTTTTCATTTCCTGAAGGTAAATAAATCACCAAGTGCGCAATCTGCGCACCATTCCATTAACACTTGTTTTTTGTCTATTTTGCTAACCTTATTAATAATTGGTTTCAACTTCTAGCTTTTTTCCAGTTAATCCAAAGTAAGATAAAGTTAAAATATTTTTTATCATATATTTATCATATTTTATTCACTATTGTCCAGATGGTGATATTGAAAATCACTAATTAATAATTTATTGTTATTGTAGGAGGATTCTTTTAAAGCTTTTTTACAATTTGTTTTGGGTCTAGTGACGAGTGATTTGGACTCAACATAAAGGAACCATTAATGACAACTTAGTAAGAACCTTTTTCGAAACACGCGGTAAAACAACTGTCACGATAGTAACATACGTTGGAGGTATAAGATTTGCTGGAAGTAGTCTTTAAAAACAACAGCATTCATGTCCCCGTGACACTCTACAGTACATTTTGATTGAAATGCTAGTAAGCCACCAGCGACAAAACCTTTTTTACTACCAATGTGATAAATAATTAATCTTTTTCCTTTCCCCAAGGATGTGTTACTCCTGTGGACCATTCTACCATTTAAGTATTTATCCCGTCACCTTTTACCAGATCACTTCGTCTTTCTCCATTAAAAGTGATTTTCTGATTAAAGTTTTTCCGTAACCTAAAAATAATTTCCTTAAAAGTTTTCCACAAAACCCATGACTGGAACGAAATCAACCACTTGCGTCAAACTATAATTCTAATTTTAAATAATAAAGCAAAGGTAGGTCAACCACTTATCCGTCTACCTGCCACACTCGGGACCCCTGACAATCATCGTAGGCGCTATACTACGCTTATGGAGTACGGTTAAAATACTAAGTTCTACAGTTCAATAATACCTTATACTAGGGCTGCTACTTATACCTCTGGCCTAATAAAGAAAAAAACAAATATTTATCATAGAACTTGGTCTTATTATTCAAATATTATTATATAAATTCCCCATGAAGATCAATGCACTTTTGCATTAATTGGAAGCTCTGATTGAGTTAGTTTCAAAACATGCGTTTTGAAAGCACCAACCGCTTCTTCGGAAGTAGAGAATCGTTGATCACCTAACTTTTTTTTTAATGATTGGGAATAAAAAGAGAAGTCATTAGCTGCCAAATCAGGGCTTCACGGCGGATGGCCGGAGAATTCGATGCTTTGGCTGGTTATTTTGACTTCTGGCAAACAAATGGTTGTCGCTACATGACCTGTAATACCGAATAAACAGGCAACCAGTTTCTCCGATGTGCCTCTTGTTTAAGGCTCATATGCTGAGATCCATAATTCGCCAGCTGTGAGGATGTTAATGAAGCACTATGTTGATACATCTCAACATTGCATCACTCGCCACAAGCTTTTTTGAGCGTTTGTCAAATTATCCGGAATCCAACGCGAACAAATCTTCAACAAATGATCATGCAATATCTTATTGATTCTTGTCGTACTAATGCCCAAGGATCTCTCAATCTCACGATATGTTACATGAAGATCTTGCATTATCAGTACATGATTAACGTTCGAGCTGACGTCGACGATGATTGAATTCGTTATACCAATTTTTCACAGTGCTGTAAGATAGATCGCCATATAAAGAATCAAGTTCATCGATGCATTCCTTTGTTGATAATCCACGTCGAAAGTTATGAAAAATATTGGGTGATGCCTAGGTCAGAAATATAAGTAGCAGCCCGCGTATCTCTCTCCAATTAAAGAACAGTCTCGTCCCTGTTCCTATTACTTACGTATGAATAAATTATTGATTGTTGGGTTTATCCAGTTACAATAAGTATGAAAGTCATAATTACTTTTTGGGGGAGGATCCGTCAAAAACCAAGACTGTATATTTCGAGACACACCGTAATCGCGAAATGAGCACTAAAACTTGCGTTTCAGATACGGCAACAGATCCTGGCCCGACATACAGTTCCATATGGCGCCGGCCAGTATCAATTCCGACGGAGGTGCCAGAGTACGCAAAGTACTGGGCTTAACCGATGAACTATACGAGACGGTTTACAAACCGATAGCTAATAAAGATGTTTACACGCTTATGCCGTTACTATTACGACCCAGGAGCAAGGGGTGGGTGAGACTCAGGAGTAGGAACCCGTTCGATGCTCCCATCGTAAACGCGAACTATTTCGATGACCCGTTCGACGTGAAAACTTTGGTCGAAGGTGCCAAGATAGCGGTCAGAATCAGCGAAGCGAAATCTTTCAAGAAATTCGGCTCCAGACTTCACACCATACCGCTGCCGAATTGCAAAAACATCGAGTTCGGGTCCGACGAGTATTGGGAGTGTCACATGAGGACGATTTCGATGACTGTCTACCATCCAGTGGGCACTTGCAAAATGGGACCCGCGTGGGATCGCGAAGCGGTTGTCGATCCGAGGTTGAGGGTGTATGGGGTGGCTGGATTGCGAGTGATCGATGCCAGTATCATGCCCACGCTGACCAGCGGGAATACCAATGCTCCCGTAATAATGATCGGAGAGAAGGGCGCGGATTTGATTAAAGAAGATTGGCTGGGTAGAAAGGGTTATCATAATCGACTCGTCAAGGGATTCGAGATTTAGAACATCCAAGTGGACGTTCGTGCCTCAAGTTAGTGCCATAAACGCGTGCTTATACCGAGTGCCTAGTTCAATAAGAACTTTTTATGCTATAGCTCCCGATATAATGAAATTATATTGTTATTAACAAAGCAGATGTAAAGTAGCATTTATGTGTGGAAATATCTGGGACGCGAGCGAATGTGTATTTTTAGTTGTAAATTATTGAGGCTGTCTCCTCTTTAAAGGTCGACTATCATCCCAGCCATAATAATCTACGCAGTATTCTGCCAAGTTCTATAGCAATGAAGTGTGCCTTCTCCCCGCACTTTTTTCCATTGTATTACGAATTGTAGCATGTGGTACGTTTCTCCGTAAATAACGTGACAAAGGTAAGCAACTTTCCTTTGTTTTACGATGTCCACAAGCTCTCTTTCTTTTTAAAGTCGCTTCAATGTATCTGCATTTGTTGCTCTTTCTACCAAACTCCACGAATGTGTCTATATAGCCACATTTCGAATGCCTGGAGACTTTTTCAGTCATCTTCGTTCGGTGTCCATCACTAAGTAGAGAAAGATTGAGAAATCAGTCTGATGTTTATATTTATAGAACAAAATACGCACATTTGTAAATGCAGCTCTAGTTTCCGGATCTTATTTCACGCGATTGTGCTCCAGATATTATTCTTATTACCGGTTTAGAAAAATGCTACCATGTGCCAAAAGAAGCACAAAAAATATAATGACATCTTACTATGGTAAATGAGGTAAACCTTGGTTTGGCAATGAAAAAATGTAAAAATATTAACAGACCTTAATAATTCTCAGATAAGAACTGTATATTAGCAAATGTTTTCAATTGTAATTTTTTAGACTAAAAAAATATTTGGTCGGTGTTTCTATGTTAATAATTTGGCTCACCAGCCAGGGTACGACACCCAGTATCTCCTACTTGTTCCTAGGTTTGTCGTTTGAGATTTATTTACTATTGCACGACGTAATCGAAACGTTATTTGAACTGATTATTGTCAGATATTTTTCGGAGAAATGAAACCAGTGCAGTAGTAAAAACAAGATATTGAGTCGACTTTAGGAAGATATTTTTAAACAATTTGAGTCCAAATCATAGAACAGGCGAGTCTTCCTTTACCGTATTTTAAGTCTAATAACTTTTTAAAGTACGATCTGATAACCGAAGAAAATTGACCGATATCTTTAGCACAGAAACTTTTTCTACGTTTCCTATTCCTTAATAGCTATCCAATAAACATTTCATTTAAATACATAGCACGTGCGTAATGACCATATTAAAACTTCGAAAAACTCACATATCAACACAGTAGACACACGACATAATCAAAGTTTCATTGCCCGAAATGATCACGTAGCCCGCAACAATCTAATTGATATACCGCTCCCGCAAAAGAGTTACGTTGATAACAATCCAGTTATTTCCACGTAAACCGTTACGCTTTCGGTAGGCCTTCATTTTAAGACGAAGCTCACAAGGAAAAAATTAAATGGAAAAACCAATTGTTAGAATTTACTATGTTTTAGTATTATTGATAAGGAAGTGAACGGCTGGGCATCTATGCAATATTGATTAGAAGTAATTTTTGATGATTGTAAGGATTTTGAATGTAAATACAAAAAGGAATGACAAAACTGTAGTTGTACCAAATTTTATATTTTTTGATATCCTTATTATACACGTTGAAATAGATAATAATATTGTTCCTCTAGGACGGCAAAAACTTATCACTCCTGCTGATACACCGGCAGAATTACCACAAATTGTTTGATATTTGTTTGCAGAAAAGTATTGCCTTTTAGTTTTTTTGTAATGTTTATCAATTTTTTTTTTATCCGCAAAAAACTATAGGTCGATACTTTTTCTCCAATAAACTAATTGGTACATGACCACGCTTTAAATCAATGAAAAGAAATTTTAAGCATTAAAAAAAAGTATTAATAAAAAACAAAGGGAAAATTTTTTTCACTCCAACTAATTACTTTTGTTTCTCAATCTTGTTCGTAAAATGAGAGTTTTTTTAATGTCTTTAATACTCCTTAATCGACTTAGTTGAAAATTGGCAGGTGGGGAGATTGAACATGGAAAAAAATTAAACTTTAGTAATTTTTTAGTAATGAATAAATAAATAAAACGTAAATTTTCAATTGCGCAACATTTTGGTTATGAAATCAGATTAGGTTCCACCCCTTTCGATTTACCAAAAAGCACTATGTATATTGAAATTGAGACAATACACTGCTCGCAATTAACGGAGCCGTTACTCTTTTCAATCGTCACGCAACTGTCCAATCCCTGAAATTTTAAATTCAAAGTCATAACTGTTTGTTGTTATTTTAATTTTAAGCAACCGTATTAGAATTTTCGCCGATTAATGGACGTTTTTAGGCTGAATTGTTATATAAATTAATGCAAATATTCCGCTGTTTATGTAATGGACTGGGTAAAAATAAAAGACCGTTTTCTTTTTGGAATTATTCAAGCTGGGTTTCAATACTATCACTACCAGATTATTAAAAACCCGTTTGACCTGGATTTGCGACTAATTGGTTCGTTTTATTTAAGAGAAAACAATATATGACACGCGCTTTAATAATTTTGGTCTGTTCTGGATTTGCCGGAATCGGATTTGAGTAAAAGACTCCGAAAAAGGTTACATTTTGGAGGGTAAAAAACATAGGTAACAACAATACGTTTAATTTCACTTAAAGGATAAATAATAATGTAATGTTTTTCTGGCTCATCACTCATCGGCGCAAGTCAATTTTTAAAAAATCAAAAACTGGTTTTACAAATATCCTAATACCGAAAAAATATCCAAGAACTAATAGAAAAACGATACAAGTAGGCGGAAAAGGAAGAAAATATCGAATAGCGGAAAAATTACACGGAGACAAATATTTTTGCTCTTACTTAGCTACAGTAAGTATAAGTAAGTAATTTTCAATTAAGTTACTTTTTAGTTTGAATACTGGCTGCAAATTAACACAAAAAACACCAATACCTTGAAATTTCAGTTGGTGCAAACTATACAATGGGGGCTAAATGATAAAATAGAAAATGGAAAATAAAATAAACCCCATTTTCAATAAAAATTCCCAATTTAAGCATTTCGTTTTGATGAGTTCTCATTACTTTTTTCTAGTTTTATAATTGCCATTGATTAGGAATTACGTGGGCGTTTCAAAAATATACATATAATTTATTGAAAACAAAATTAATATCAATTAAATATTCAGTTCATCTACATGAAATTATCTTAGTAAAATAAAACATTTTGAAAGGGGGGGGGGGGGGAATTTAAAATTTTTTTGTCATTTAAAATTATCATAATTGGGTCCTTTTTAAACGCTTTGGAAGGTAAAATTGCGATTTACGACGGCTCCGTTGCAGAATCGATCTTGTTTTCTAAACTTTGTCTTGCGTAAAACTTCATGACAAAATTGGGACCACGAAAAATTTTTGTATTCCACAGAATATCCCAAATCTTGTGTATAGGCTCTTTAATGCCTTCAATATAAAAGGTACTGCACATGTTTGAAAAACTCACCATTATTGCCAATTATAATAAAAAAATTTAAAAAAATATGGTCCAATAACTTTTTGACCTGACGTGGTATATTTATTCTGACAGCGACACCGAATTGAGCGAGGAAATTTATGCAACAATTAACGTAACCTTCGAAGGATAAAATGTCACATTTATACCTAATAAAACCGCATCTTTCTCTCTTTAAAGATAAGTAAGATACTCCCTGCGTAAAAGTGTCGAAAATAAACATAGAAATTTAATTTATTCAAAAGCGAAACCGTGAGCTAAAATCATCTTCAGGGTTTCTTCTAGCCACCATTAGGTAGTTCTTTCCATGGCGCCTTCATATAAATTGTTTTCTTTCTTTAATCTCTAAAATCATCTCCCATAATATATAAACGGTATATCTGGACATCATGTAGGTGTAATTACAATTCTTAAATTCTAGAATAGCGGTTGATTGCAAGTTACATGACAAAATCTTCTGAAACGCATGGAAGAATTTCAGTTTCAATAAATGTAGCACACAAAACTAGGAAAAGGCAAGATACTTAAGTAAATGCGTTTTTTTTCAAACTGAGAGAAAACATGATAAATATTGGCCGCTTAATATTGTTATATACAACAGGATTTAAAGTGGAATAAACTAATACAGGTTTGCTGACATCAGGAAATCGTATCTGTGCTACACATTTTAGGAGTAACAGCTTGTGTTTAAGAATCTATTAATTACACACCGCTTAGAGGCCCGTTACATAAAAATATCGTTCAAAGCATTTAGCATTTAACTTATCGACTACCATAATCAGTTGATCAGCGCTGCAATATTTGATCCAGTTGTGGGAGCTACGATTAAACATAATTAAAACTAATAAAAAATGAGTAAATTTACATATCCCTTTGTAAACGTATTTCATAATCTACTCAAAGAGTTACGTAAAAATACGGCGACACGGAGACATTATAATAATGTACTACCCACGTCTAATTTGAGAGTATCAAAGGTCATTTATACGCCACGACCTTTGTCAGTTCGTCACTTGCCCACAAAACGATCGTAGAACAAAATATATTCAAAAAATATCTACCGAAAAGCTTTTTACACGAAAACAAAACTTTTTTCAAATAAAACGAGGACTTTCGAGAAAACAAAAGCAAAAAATTTAGGTTTGACTTTTGGCTACATCATTTGATTTTGATGTTAAAAAACAACTTAAAACCAGTTACATGCGCCTTAAGAACATTTACAGATTAAAGCAATTTTCAAATCCAAAATAAAAACATTTTCTCTGCAACGCCGTAATTCTTAGCAAACTAAAACGTCAATACAAAAATTGCAAAACTCTTGTATGCGTTTTGCGTTTTTGTAAACCGGCTTATCCTGATGAGATGTTTCAACTTCTTCCATATTCCCAAAGAACAAGATACAACCTTACATTGTTACAGAACAAAATCTACTT